AGGGCGACGAGGGGTGGCGAGCCAACCCCCAATCGCAGTGGCAAGGATGCATGCCGAGGGAGTTGACGATGATGATCATGAGGATGTGGTGTTGATGTGATGTTTGGTTTTGCTTCGGCACCTGGATCAAACCCTTCGAAAACGCTCATGCGATGTTCAAGCCTGGGAGTTGCGGCGCAATCGGCTTGACCCCGTCGCGGTATCTGGCGACGGGGATGGCCCGCACCACCTGGCGCGTCGCACTGCAAAATTTCTCGGTGGCACTCGGGGTCCAGAGGCCGCCCGGGCCCGATAATAGTGGCACCCACATAACACAATGCAAATATCGGTTCGATAACGTCAAGCGCCCACAAAAGAAATTATAACTTTTCCCCAGCCAGTGTCCGAGAGTTGTTAAAACCAGTATATGCATGTTCTGGCGCAGTTCCCCAATTTCAGTCACCATCTTAGTTGATGATTGGACCGATCCCAAACTGTCAGCGATGCCGTGCGCCTGCTGTATCAACAGCGCAGAATGGTTATCGTGAGCCACCTGGCCTGCTAACCATTCAGGCCTAAGTCCACCATCGAAGCGAGAAAGGATGTCCAACACTTGTCGTTTCATAACATGGTATTCCCAATGTTCGCCATACGTGTGTCGCCCGATGACCTTCGCATACTTGTGTTTGCGTTCGGTGGAAAAGCGAGACAGGACGTCGCCGACGTCATCGATATTGCGGGGGATATGGTGCCCATAGTGCAGCTTCGGCTTCACATACGATACACCATGCCGATCTTTGATGAGTTTATGGTGCTCAGTCAAGGTAGCCCCCATGTCTCTAGTGTTACTGATAGCGCACGCGGGGGTCGATAGCATATCCAATATTTTGGAAATCAGGCGCAAACAACGCACCTCCTCCAGCAGCGCCCCGCTCGAAACTAACACCAGCTCGGAAAATTTCACCAGCGCGTGAACGGCGAAGATAGTCTCGCCTGCCCATGCTTTCAGACACTCCCCATTGCGCTGAACGCGATCACGAAAAAAATCCTTCGGCAGCGATCCATTCGGCCACAAAATCGATTGCTGGAATACGTCCAACGAGCCCAAGTCTATGCAATGCGGCTCCGATAGGAGCTTCACGCAGAAAGCGTTGACCTAGAGTTGGCGCACTCCTCCTGATGCCACCAAACAGTGCATCCAATCCCAGTAGGTGTGTTTCACTGGGTTTAGCCATTTCCTGAGAAGGGGGTCGTGCAACATCGAATCCTCGTTGAAATTCACCGCAAACTTTCTCATTCTCAGCGAATCGGCCCGGGGCCAGCAGCGGCTTCGCTCTCTTGAGTTCATGGACCATGTGTTCGAATGAATCTGGCGCGTGCAAAACGAAATCTGATGGGACAGCGCCCTGGAGAAGCTTGGCATATTCAGATCCTTCTATTTTGTGCCTCGGCGTCCGAACCACGCTCCTGCAGCAGATGCAAGCCTTGAATCCGCTTGCACCTTTAACCGGCCAAAAGTTTTTGCGCGCCTCCTCATCTTGCACCACGCAAGAGAATATTCCTTTGTATTCTGCGCGCCCACCGCGGCTGTTGGGGGGCAAGACCCCCGCCTCAAGGTTGCAAGATTCTTGGTTGAAGAAAGTGCGTTTCAGAAGTTGTTTCGCGAGGCCACCGAGTCCAGCCGACACTTTCTCCTGGCGTTCAAAAGGGAAGAAACACAATGCCCACCAACCCTCGTCGCGACATCTCACCCACCTCGGGAGCTCTCTGATGGCCCAGTCCGCGGCCCTGGAATCAAGGCGGCCGTGGGTTCGCAGCGTGTGAGTTGATGATGCTTCTCTGTGGTGTTTTTGAGTTTCCTCCAGGGGGCGGGGCGTCGTCGTCGGGTTTCGCAGCAGCGCGTAAATAGACAGCTTGAAGCTCTTTCGCCTGGTCGGGATTGAGCGGGTTGGCAGCTTGCAGCTTGTCAGTGTACAAAACTATTGAAATTGCTCCGTTGCAACATCTCTCAATCATATCTGAAAACAGAATACCCCCTGAACCTCCATTTGCGTTGCCGCACAAACAATGAAGCAACGCCGACGGGTTGCAGCATAACGTTGGGCAGCGCTCTCCTTCGGCATGGTCAATATCGATAACGGGCAAAAGTTGGCCGAATGGCGTGTGCACGTTCAGCTCTTGATTCAATACTCTGCGCATGTCCTGTTCGGAACCATCCACTCCACATTCTCTGGCTATTTGTTGCAATTTGTTCCATGACAAGGTAGGCGCAACTTGCGAAAACATGAGCCTGCGTTTCCTTGAAGAATCGTCGACAACCATGTTTGGGTAACGGCGTGCTGAAATCGCGGCGAGTACGGCATCGGTGGCGGCGGCGAGCCAACGGTGTGCGTGAAAACCAGCAGTGGCGAGCCAACCGTTTGAGCGAAACGATGCGGAAGAAGTGGTGGTGGGGTTCCTGCCTGTGCGCCCCTCACTCGGATCGTACCCTCGCAAGATCTTTGCCGATGTATAGCTTGCAACAAACGGTGCCGATATATTTTTTTTGTTTTGAAATGTCATTTTGATTTTCGATTTGACTTAGCTTTCACTTAGCTTTCACTTAGCTTTGACTTATATGTGACTTATATATTGAATATATATCAGATGTGAATCAGTTATCAAACTGGCATTACATCGTTTGTGCTTCAATTCAAGATAAGTCGATTGCATTTGAATGTAAGCCCATGTATAAGTAGCTAAGTCGAACCGCTCAGCGAAGTAGCTTCCGCATCTCCTTCATCGCCTGGCTATCGCGATGCAGCTCCGATGACGCATGCTCGACGAGCTTGGGCGACGCCACGACGAGGCCCGTCCCCCCCGCCCCCATGCACAGGCGCTCGTCCTCCACAGTGTCGCCCGCCCGCTTCGGCGCCTAGCGGTCGCGGCACGCCCACTCCGCCACCCGAACCCGTCTCGCCATCAACTCAAAGCTGGCAACCTCCCCCGCGCTGGCTTGGTCGTGGACCGACGCGAACTCAAAGGCCAGCTCGTGGTCGGCCAGCCCAGGGCCCGCGGCACCGCGCCCCGTCTCATGGAGCCACTTGGCGTGCCGGGCCCGGGGGTGGCTGTCCTGCTCGGCGACGAACCGAACGCACAGGCCTGCCGCACGCTGCCCCCACAAAAGCCAGCCAGGCCACTCCGACTCGGCAACCTTGAGCACGGCGACACGATACAACTTCTTGCGCGCAAAATTCTGGTTCTTGACCACATTCAGCATCCGATCGCCCCGCCCCACCTGCGTCGCGCCATCCTTCGGGTCGACAGCCGCGAGGACGTACAACCCCATGCCCACGATCGCGATGGCAGCGTCCCCAGATCGGGCGCACTCATCAACCACACTGTGCGTGAAACATGCCATATCAAGGGCTTCACGCCTGGCAGCATTGAATACCCAATCTGATTCTTCACCCAGGGAATCGCCCCACTCGCTGTCGGACCCGATGACTGCATTGGGCCTTTTTTGGACTGGCTCCGAGCGGGGCTATTCGTCGGAGCTACCATCATCGCCGCGTTGAGCAGCTCGAAGGCGGTGGGCTCCCAGGCGGAGGCGTATACCAGTCTCCCGCAGCGGCGGCGGCCAGTCCTCCAGAACACCCATCCGTCGTTCTCACGGAACCCCAGCCCGCGCAGAGCGGGGCTGTCAACCAGCATCGGGTGCACCCCCAAGTCGGGCGTGAGACAAAACCAGATCATCGCGTCTTTCTCTTGATCCTCGGTGGCATTGATCTCTATAATGTCGGCCAGCTCCTCGCGGGTAGCGTGCCCCACGATGATCCGACTTTGTCACCCCTCGCCAACCGCCCACTGCACGTTGAGTCAGCGGACAATTCGCATGCTGACTACTGCCATCGAATCCCTAGGACCTAACGACGAGCAGAAGCCACGGAACCCACTGATAGCCTGCTTCCAGCACAGTCGCCTGCTGAGCCAGTCCGCCTAAGGCGCCTGCCACTCCGCTGAGCTCTCGGAGGACGATCCAAAAAAACTCCGATGTTGGAAAAGAAAGCAAGCATGTGACGGCCGTGAGGCATGACGACCAGTAGGCATTGACGGCCGCGGGTGGCGAGGGACACGGACGTTTGAAAACGCGACCACGTGTACATGATCGGAAGTTAGGGGGTGAGATCGAAGTGGAACGGGGAGCCCCCCAAAGGGAAATCGGTTTTGGTTTCGTGTTCGTGACTGCCGTGCGTGCGGGCGAGGCGTAGCTGCGTGGGCGGGCGAGAGGAAAAGTCTCTTGAGGCTGAGGCGCGGCCGGATCAAATGATTCTCCCTCTGGCAAGCGGTTGCCCGCGGTGTCCCGCCGGTGTCCCGCTTGTGGCTGGGTCCCGGCCGGACAAAATGATTCTCCCTCCGGCAAGCGGTGGCCCGCGGTGTCCCGCCAGTGTCCCGCCTGTGTCCCGCTGGTGCGAAAACGATAACGAGACCGATGACGAAATCGGTTGTGAGATCGATGGTGAGATCGATGGTGAGACCGATAGTGAGATCGATCATGAGATCGATAGTGAGATCGATAGTGAGATGAATAGTGATATCGATTGTGAGATCGAGTGGTATCGATAGGGAGATCGATAGTGGGATCGATAGCGAGATCCAGAGTGAGATCGACAGTGAAATCGATCGAGTGAGATCGATAGTGAGATCGATCGAATGAGATCGATAGTGGGATCGATGGTCCCAAGAGCGAGCGGCAACGCAACAATCACCACTCTTGCCCATTGCTGGCCCCCCTCCACCCAAACCTCCTTATCACCCGCAGGGTGGTCGTATAGGTGTACTTATATATATATGTATAGAGAGAGACAGATAAGGATACACACATGTTGTTGGCTATCTATATATATATATATACATATGAAGGAATACAGAGAGAGTACACTATGTATATCAGACGAGCGGAACAACAGACATAGAGGGAAAGAGAGAACGCGACTCGGAACGCGACTCGGGGGAACACGTGGAAGGGGAGGGAAGGTCTC